GATAGATGCTCAGGCGGCCTCTGCCCCATGCAGACAGGGTGCTGGGGATCCACGTGGCAGAGAAGCCAACTCCACTCGCAAGAGGTTCACTGTCCCTTGGGGGAGATGGCCACTTAGAACAAAGCCTAATGGCTGACTAAAAGGGAGGTGGGGAGGGGTGGGTGCTGCCCCAGGTTAAAATAGGCATAAAGGGACTAACAACCAAATGCAGCACAGACTTTGTCTGGATCCTGATTCAAACAAACAAGGAAATCTGAGTACGGACAGGTGAGACCAAAGAATTACCGCTAATTCTATTACATGCAATAACGGCAATGTGATATGAAAGAGGTTGTTCTTTCTAAAATAGATATACACTAGATTAGTGGTCAGCAAACTCATTAGTCAAGAGAGCCAAATATCAACAGAACAACGATTGAAATTTCTTTTGAGAGCCAAATTTTTTAAACTTAAACTATATAGGTAGGTACATTGTTATTAACTTAATTAGGGTACTCCTAAGGCTTAGGAAGAGCCACACTCAAGGGGCCAAATTGCCGCATGTGGCTCGTGAGCCGCAGTTTGCCGACCACGGCACTAGATTATTTAGGGGCAAAAATGACATGATATCAAAGATTTGTTGTAAAATACCTTAGGAAGAAAGAACAGGGGAATCAAAAAAAAGAAGAGGAAAGGAAAGGAGAGAAAGGAAGAGGAGATAGGGGGGAGGGGGTGTGGGAGGGGGCCCCAGCTTGGCATAATCTTGAAATCTTGATGACTGTTGAAGCTGGGTAATGTTCATATGGGGCTCATTGTACTATTCTCTCCATTTTTATGTTTGAAAATATTCATAACATCTTTAAATAGAGGACTGCAATACCTTATGGTGGATATCCTAATAAAGACACGCATAAACACTGAAGTAATACAGAGCAAAGAGGATTAGTGAGAACCAGAAAATAAACCTGCCAAGTTTATGAGTATCTTTAATGACACATTCACAAATAATTGCAGCAGGGCCTTGAATAATGTCGTTTCATTAAAAGTTGACTCATTATAACGTTGATGGGATGACGGAGAAACTTAACTGTTGCTTATATCAATTAGCCTATGGTAAGTTGGTTTCATTATATATCATTTCACGTAACGTCACAGAACTCATCAACAATGTAAAGTGAGGACTGACAATATAAGGTGGGAAACAGTAAGCACAGCAGGGGAGCTGCACTCACCAAACCTCCAAGTTCAGAGGATGGCCCCAGAGGATGGCCCCAGAGGATGGCCCCAGAGGATGGCCCCAGAGGATGGTCCCAGAGGATGCCACAAAGTGTTCCTGCTTCCCTTAGTGTTTAATTCACCGCACAGGCCTCTCTCAAACAGACCAGGCCAGAATCCTAGCCTGGTTGCTCACTAGCTTGTGTGATAGGAACAAGTTTTAACCTTTCTGAGTCTCAGTTTCCTCATCTGCAAAATGGGAATAACCCTACTTACTTCTTCCAAGGGCTAATGTGAGGATCTAATGATATAAAGAATAAAAAGTCCCAGCACAATGAACAGTATTCAATTTCTTGACTCTCTAAACACCAGTGACCCTTAGCTTGGGGAGGACTTCAAAGATTAGCAATGTTCAGTCCAAACCTTCTTGCACCCATATCCCACCCCTCTCTCCAGGGACAAGTCTCTCCACCAAGATGGCAGAACCTCTACCCTTCAGTGGCAGGGGGTAAAAGGGCCAGGCCTATGACTGGGAGGCACACCCAGATGGGGGTGTAGGCATGGTGGAGAGAATAGAGACACAAACCAATCCTAGGCAGGGAGGGATTCCCTGGACCTGTTCCTCTGCTCCTTACTGCTGCAGGGAATGGGCTTCCAATAACCAGAGCTACAACCAGCCTAAGTCCCTAAGCTGATGTATGCTAAAGTGTAACTGTTTGGGTTATTAAAATAGCCACGTTATTTAAAAAGTACAGCAAAGGGAATATAGTCAATAATATTGTAATAACTATGTATGGTGTCAGATAGGTACTAGACCAGTGATGGCGAACCTATGACACGCGTGTCAGAGGTGACACGCGGACTCATTTTTTTGGTTAATTTTTCTTTGTTAAATGGCATTTAAATATAAAAAATAAATATCAAAAATATAAATCTTGCCCTGACCGGTTTGGCTCAGTGGATAGAGCATCGACCTGTGGACTCAAGGGTCCTGGGTTCGATTCCGGTCAAGGGCATGTACCTTGGTTGTGGGCACATCCCCAGTGGGAAGTGTGCAGGAGGCAGCTGATCGATGTTTCTCTCTCATCGATGTTTCTAACTCTCTATCCCTCTCCCTTCCTCTCTGTAAAAAATCAATAAAATATATTTTAAAAAAATATATGTCTTTGTTTTACTATGGTTGCAAATATCAAAAAATTTCTATATGTGACATGGCACCAGAGTTAAGGTTTTTCAAAATGCTGACATGCCGAGCTCAAAAGGTTCGCCATCACTGTACTAGACTCATTGGGGTGATCACTCTATAAGGTATATGAATGTCTAATCACTATGTTGTACACCTGAAACTAATATAATATTGTATGTCAACTGTAATTAAAATTTTAAAAAAGCCTTTCATGCTCTAGCCGGTTTGGCTCAGTGGATAGAGCGTTGGCCTGCAGACTGAAGGGTCCCAGGTTTGATTCCGGCCAAGGTCACATGCTTGGGTTGTGGGCTCAATCCCCAGTAGGGGTGTGCAGGAGGCAGTCAATCAATGATTCTCTCTCATCATTGACGTTTCTATCTCTCTCTCCCTCTCCCTCTCTAAAAACAATAAAAATATATTTTAAAAAATAAAAAGCCTTTCACAAAGTCGCCACCCCTAACACATACACATACACACACACACACACACACACTCTTAGTTTCAGGCCCCTCCCTGGAGATATAAATAAAATAAATAAATAAATAAATAAATAAATAAATAAATAAATTGTAACTGGTTGGTAGTAAGCTAATCATGACTTTCTTTTAGAAGAGAGATAAGCAGCAAGCCAGAGCCCTAGCCCTAAAGAAGGAAGGAGATAGAAATAAAAAGTGATGTCATTTTTTATGAAGGTATGTTCAGATTGTAACTCTCAATCACCTTATAATCATAACTGGTATACTCCAACACCTTCCCCCCCCCCCCCAAAAAAAAACACACAAAACAAACAAAAACAAAACTAGAATCAATCCTAAGGTAGAGGTTATTTCAGCTAACACAATCTCTTAGACCATCCCAGAAGCCAACTCTCAGAGGTGAGACCCGTCCATGGCATAGGCAAGCTTTGCCCCCAGATAGCTCCGAACACCAGTCAATCTCTTCCCATCACAGCATGACAAACACCAGCCCTCACCCTTGACTGGAGGACAGGGTGGGCAAAGGCATCTGCAGGCTGAACCATCTGGGCTAACCTGAGTCAATTCAAGTGCTTCACCAAAGAAGCATCCCCTGAATCGCTGGCAGAACCTTTTCAGAGGCCAGGAGCCTCCAGTCAGCACACAGTAGGGCCATGCAACAGGGCACCCACCTTCCACAGACACAGGGCAACAACAAGAGCACTAGTCTTCGCTCTGGCAAAGCTAAGCTGGGTTTGAATCCTGGCTCGGCCACTTTCTGTGTGACCATGAGCACTCACCCTACCTGAGACTGTTTTCCCATCTCTAAGATGAGGAGGGTAAAACTCTGAGTTTTTGGAGAGTAATCATGAAATTGACTGCACCAAGCACCACAGGGCAGGACCTGTCTCCCAGCCAGGACTTAATAAATCTTTCTTCTCTCTGCCTAAAGGTCCATTTTTGCTGTAATTAGTCTCCGGAGCATCAGGTGAGCTGCCGTGGAGGATTGAGGTCCACTTGTTGGGCTCACTTCCCCGGGGAAGGGGACGGAGCAGAACTGGTGCAGGTGCCAGGGCACCCCCCCTCCCCCCCATGCAAACATTCGAGGGCCAACCCGCCCCTGGCTTCGTTCCCGAGGGACCTCCCCAGAAGGGGGGCTGATTTGTGACTTCGCCTTTCACCTGAACCACTGAGGACCGCAGTGGGCAGGCAAGACTGACAGACAGCAAGAGGGGCCGCGCGCAGCCGAAGGGCCCCCGCCGAGCCGAACGCACCTCCGAACGCACCTCCGAATGAAAGCTTTTTGGCTTTCAGAACCCAGGCTTCAGAATCAACAATGTGGAGGGAGGCACACGTTTACTCTGGTTTCAACACGCCTCTTCCCCGTCCAGCAAAAGCCCTTCCCAGCTTGGCCAGGGCCATGAGGCGAGCCCAGGATAAAGTTAACCCCGCGGACTCCAGCCTGGAAACCAGGTCAGCGGCGGCTGAGGCTGCGGGCAAGACCCTGCACCTCCCCAAGGGCAGGCCAGGCGGGCGCCGCGGACGCGCGGCGGGGGTCCTCCTGGGCCTGGGGTGAGCGCGGGCTGCTGGGGACCACAGCGCCGCGGCCCCTTGGGCCACGCCATGGCCCCAGACCCGGTCCTAGCCCGCAGGCGGCGAGGCCACTGACATTTGGCCCAACTTAACTTCCTGTTGTTAAGGAGGGAGGGGAACCTTGGGGGAGACAGTGAAAAGCCAGGAGAGAGCGTGAAAGGCGCGGAGCCCAAATCGTGGGAAGCTGAGTTTGCGGATAATCTCCCACCCGCCCGGGTGGCGGTCGGCACCGCCGGCGCATTGCGCCCACTCCGTGTTGACGGCTGGGGTTTTGCTAGGCTTAGAATGGCCGGGTTTGGGTGTTGGCGAGCAGAGTAAGAGGTAGTTCCGGGCACGATGGGAGGCTTTTATTTCGTTCTAAGCCGTTCAGAGAGGGGTCGGTGCAGCCCCGGCCTCCTGGGCAGCGCCACCTGCTTGCCGGCTGCCCAGTGGGTCTGAGGCAGGAGATGCTGCGGCCGCACCTGACCCTCCCGGGCGCCGGCGAGGACTCGGAGTCCAGGCTCGGCTGGCACGGTCCCCCGCGCCGTGCCTGTCCGCCCGCCCACCTCGGAGCCGTGCGCCGTCCGCCTTACCGACAGCCTTGCTGGCCACGGAGCCAAGGGCCAGCTCCTGCCTTCACCTCGGCCTCCGGCGCAGCGGTCAGGACTCGCAGGCCGCCTGCGGAGCTGGGAGCGAGCAAGACGCCCCGCGTAGCCGGGCGAGCGCCCGCAGTTCAGCGCCTCGCGGCCGACAGGGCTGGGAGCCGCCCCATCGGTGCTGCGGCCTATGACAAGGCAGCCGGGGGCGCGGCCCCGCCCGCAGCCCGAGGGCTGCGACCAATAGCAGCGCGGCGCGGAGCCCAGTCCCTCCCCCCCTCCCCACCCCGCTCCCGGCCGTCTCCGCCCCTGTGGGGCCAGCTGTCACCGCGGCAGCTGTGGGCGCACGTGGGCTGCAGCTGGGCCGGTGCTCGGGAAGCGGCCGGCCGGCGCTCCCACCCGGACCTGCACAGGTTTGAGACCAGTGGAGAGGCCGGTGTGGGCGGGGTGTAGAGATGCTGCGAAATGAAAGCACAGGTGCTGGTGTTCTACTGTCAAGGGAGAGGCAAGGGCTGGCCTCATGCTCCTTAGCCTAGGCAGCTGGAAAGCAAGCAACATCGTCCCCTTTTGGACTTGGGGAATGGCTGTGGGCCTCCTCCTTCCTTTCCTTCTTGACCACTGTGGGCTTCAGCGAACGCCCTGCTTGGTAGCTGATAGGCTCTTCCCCTCACTTGACTGCCTTTGCTTAGAATAACGCTGGTGGAAAGGGGGGGGGGGGGGGGGGGTCCGATGCTACTTAAGAACCCTCTTCTCTTGGCCGCCAAGTGGCTACCTTAATCTCTGCTCTGCCCCTTCCGGGGTTGCCCATACTCCCACAGCTCCAGGAGCATCATTCACAAGAAGGACAGTGGAGATGGTGTAGGGCCTATGAGGGGTGTAAAGCAGCTTTGCACACTGTAAATACAGCAAACACCTTGCAGTGATTCATGAAACAAGTATCCCATGGGCAGAAGTCATGTTTTACTCACCTCTGGGAGTAGGGCTCATCAAGGTTTGGCCCAGTGTAGGCATCAGTAAATGTTCTTGGAACTGAGCTGATGCCGTGGGAAGAAGAACAGGCAGACTTTGGGCAGGAGAAGGTACTGTGACTCCAGGCGGCTGGAATTTTCATAGCATCAGACCACCCTGTGGAAAGACTATGTGCCCTTGCAGGGCAAGTACACACAGAGCAGTTCGCCTTTACCAAACCTGGGGCGGATATTTTTTTCTATTTCTTACCAAGTGATTCTACTCCAGGCCTTTTGGGCTCACTTAATCCTGACAATGGGTTTGTAAGGCATACATGCTTACCATCCCCTTTTACCGATGTGGAAACTGAGACGGGGTAAAGTACAGTAAGTTGTCAAGGGCACAAGTTAATAAGTATCAGGGTCTGGATTTGAGCCAGGAGCTATCTGACGCCACCATTTGTATGTCTCACCATGGTGCCATTGGGGCCTCTACAGCCCTACCCATACCTCTAGACTGCTGGACAGGCCAGGTCTATTTCTGAAGGAAACACTCTGGGGCCTGGGCTGCCCAAACAACTATTGAGCTCAGGGCTGGGCACTGTCGGAGACGGGAGTTGTGACGGGCATGGCCCTGCCTTATTTACAGAGTGATAGAGGAAAGCTGAGACAGAGAGGAGCTTTAGGAAACAGTGTTAGCTCTGCCCCCAGCACAAGGCCTCACTGGATACAAAGCCTCTTGCTTCTGGCCTGGGCCTTAGATAAGCATGTTGGCGAGGGAAACGCAGACAGGTTATTCATTCATTGCACAAAAGCTACTGTGAGCTGGATGTGGTTCCTGTGTTCCTATAACCTATAATGCAGCTGATAAATAATCAGAAGTACATGGTGCTATGGAGCTAGCTGTATTTTTTTTATTACTTTTAGTTTTTATAACCCCCATCACCTTGTCTATAGCACAATGTTCTCCAAATTAAACGAATTTAAGACTACTCTAGGAACACTGTGACCCAACCAAGTTTTGTAGAGATAGCATTGCTCAGCACAGAAGTTCTAAGAGCTCAAAAACTCATATGTATCAGTGGGTTCCTAGGACCTCTGCCTCTTCCCGTCATTCCACTCCCAATATTTTTAACTCAGGGGGCTCAGGTCAGAAAGACCCTAGCTAGGTGGATCTCAGAGCTGAGAGGTGAGCTTTTCTTTAGATGTAGGGCAAGCTGGGAGGTGATGGGGAAATAACTGCATAGAGGGAGATACGCCTTGGGACCTTGGAGCCAGTGCTTAGAGCCTGTCGCCACCACACACAAGCCACCTTCCTGGCCATTTCCCTGTGGGGTGGAGAGGCCTGGAGACAGGAGGTCCCAAAGGCTCCTCCTCTGGACAAAGCAGTAACCCTGGGATAGCTTGCTGGTCTCTGACTGTGGGAGTTTATACAACTGAGATCATGCAATTCAGATCTTAGAGAAAATACCTAGGCCCCTCACTTAATAGATTAAAGAAATAACAATAAATGGAGCCCCAGAAACGGGAAGGCACTTGCGAGGACCACAGAGTACGGGAATGGGCTCCAGGTTCCCAGCGCCTCTGCCCCACTCTTAGCATGCCAGGCAAACTCCGCGTCCTTATGCCACGACTCAGGAGTCTATATTTAATAACAGCCTCTTCCCCAGCCCACTCTTCTAGGACGGTGAATGTGTGCCTGTGAAGGTTGTCTGGGAGGTGCAGATGGCCGCATTCGCATCAGAGGGAGGGAGGGAGAGAAGGAAGGCACAGATTCATCCCTAAAAATATCTTCATCTCAGGCTGGAAGCAACAGGCTTCGACGCCACTCTGCGCTCCTCCCCAGGAAAAGAACTCCAGGGGCGGGGGGCGGGGGGGATTATCATCGCTGGTTACCCACCTCACAGTGTTCCAGGAGGGACGCATGGGGTGTTGGGCTTGGCTTCGTTTTATCTGCAGCCCAGCACTTTGCTTAAAGGAAGGTAAACGTTGAACTAAGTGGATTCTTGATGCGAAGATGTTCTGTAGAGAAGCCAGGGTGCTTCTCACAGTGTTTGGTTGGCAGGGAAAAGAGTTGCCACCTGTGCCTCATTCCCTCCAAGTGAAAGGGCCCATGTCCTGGGACCTCTTCCTCACGTGTAGACGTTCCGCCAGGAAGGGGGAAAACAGTGAGTGGTTCTCACCAGCTTCCTCCTCAAGCTGCTGTCAAAGGGCTCTGGGCTCTCAGAAAGAAGAGAGAGGCTGGTATCCACGGAGTCCAGTGGCCTCGCTGACTGGGGAGAAAAGGCTGACTGGCCCCAGGCCGCCTTGGGAATTATCTTCGGAGAAGGACTTTCTAAGCCAGGAAGTAGGAACAGTGGTACCTCCCCAAAACACTCAGGAATGTGTGAGAAGCAAGATCCCCGGGGCCTCATTCCAGCCTGATATCCGGATAGGCCCAGGATGCACTATTTTTTGTGAATAAGACAGAAAAGGTCTCTAGGAGCTTTCCAGGCCTATCACACTTACAGTGGGCTTTCCAGGGGCAGTTTGGGGAAGAAAGGGCACCTGTGGAAATCAGTAATACCCTCAGAGGCACCACAGCACTTTGGGGAATGTGGGCGTGTTGGCAGCAGTGATGGGAAAGTCAGCGCTGGAGAGCTGAGGTTACAGGCAGGAGGTGATGTGCCAACCAGAGCAAAGAGAGAGACGCAGAGAGTGGGTGTGCAGAAGCGGAGAGGAGGAGACACAGGGTCATGAAAGAACTCTAGCCCCCGCTTCAAATAGCCTGGTGAGATGCACGCATGCGCACACACCCACACGCACACACATACACACACACACACACACACACACGTATACACACACGCGCACACACTCAAAGCTAACTGTCAAATCCAAGGGCATAATTCTAGATACAAAAGACTAAACGATGCCACAAAAAACACTGCACCCTCACGGCATACTGGGCCACACCTGCAACCTAGGCAGACTCTTGCTTATGCAAACCTGAAGCCCATTCCAGAACCCACTGCGGTAACTGAATGGAGCTAGGGAACCAGCTCCTGAACCCTCCTCAGAGCAGCTGTCTAGGGGCAAGGACAGGGGTACTCTTCTCTGTGATAGCCAGTGGAGGGGACTCACTCAAGCTCACCTGCCTGTCTATCCATCATGTATCCACCCCACAAATATGTACAGTGCAGTTATTCTAAGAGACATCATGACCGAGTAATTAGTAGCACAGGTTCTGAAGTCAAGATGCCTGAGTTTGAATCCCAGCTCTGCCATTTACTGGGTCGCCTTGGGCAAGTGACTTAACCTCTCTGTGCAGAAAGTTCCTCACCTGTGATATCAGCATAGTAAGAGGGAGATACATGCATAGAACAGTGACTGGGACATAGTAAATGATATAGAAGAGTTTTTGAATTAAAAAAAATAGGAGGCTGAGCCCTGTCTGGTGTTGTTCAATGGTTAGTGTCGGTCCATACACTGAAGGGTCACAGGTTCAATTCCCAGTCAAGGGCAAGTACCTGGGTTGAAGGTTCTATTCCCAGTCCTGGAAGAGGTGCATGCAGGAAGCAACCAATCTCTCTCTCTCTCTCTCTCTCTCTCTCTCTTTTTCATTCCCTCCCTTCCTTCCACTCTCTCTAAAAATCAATGGGGAAAAATATCCTTGGTTGAGGATTTAAGAAAAAAAATAAAAACAAACTAGAGTTCATAAGAGGCATCATTTGATCAACTCCAGGTTAGGCACGTGGCCACTTCCACTACTAACCTTGTGTGTATACCTCTCAACCACACTTTGAGGTGCATACTATCACCACCCACACCTAATGATGAGAAAATGGAGTCTTGGAGAGGTGAAGTCACTGGCCCAAAGTCTCCCAGGAGCCAGCATATGGGGGGCGGGGGGGCGGGGTGTGAATCTAACTGGCTGACTCCAAATGTGATCTTTACACCCTCCTCACATTGACTGGGCATCGCTCCAGGGCCGGCCAACCAACCATATCACCCCAGTGGTGATGGGTCCAACAGACATGCATATGGTCCAAGCAGATTCCTTCTTCTGGATCAGCATGTAGAGACACCTGTGAGAGAAGCTCTCTCTTTCCACAGGAGTCGGGGCTTCCAGGTAATGTGCTCCATGCACAATGGAGGAGACCAGACTGTAACAGAAGAGAAAGAGTCTAGACGTAGAAGCCCCAGTTCTCTTTCTCTGCGATGCCCTTGGCTCC